TTCTATGATGAATTGTAAAGAAGGATGGCGGTTGTTGAAAGCAAACAAGACATCATCAAGAATTACATTATTATCTCAGATAACGAAAGTGTCGTCTACGTATCTTTTATAAATATCGAAATGATTGATGATTTGACTAAGTTGAGAGTTTCCACGCTTTGCCATAAAACAATGATCAGCCAGCAAAGGACCCATTGGTAATCCCATGGCAATGCCATCTCTCTGTCTAAAAATCTCATTATTGAAGGTGAATTGAACATTCTGCGTGCATCTCAATAAAAGTTCTTTGAGGTAGACAGTCGGCAACCCTATTTCTAAACTATGTGTATCAATATAACCACATATATATATATATGATTATATTTTGTTCTTAATGCTACAGCGGGAATTATTAAATTTTTCTGGTGCCTCCTTCATCTGACTAAATGACTTACCAACGTATGACCTTAGACAAAGGGGACCAGTTCAAGTTGCCACATTTCAGAAGCTCACATAAAATTAAAGGAGAGAAGATCTAAAGGTAGGGAGGATAAAGAGGATTAGAAAGGACATTCAGGATCTCGATCAATGTCTTGGCTTTGTGCTGTGGAAACACCATTCATCGACTGCTTTTCTTCAGCCAGGCCCTCGAGATGCTGAAATAAATGGTTGTGAAAGATCTTCGTGATATAACTGAAAGCCATTCTCATTCACTTGAATCTATTTTGCTACCCATTTGTCATCGAGATTATGAAAAGCTTCTCTAATCTTTGTCTAGTCTTTGCACTCATGCGTCGTTGCATCTCTTTGCCTTTATTTTGAGTGTTTCTTCGAAGTTCATTAAGAGGAGCTGATGCACTCCTTTGACAAGGTATCTGTTCATCCAGCCGTTTGTCTTCCTGCTCACATCAGTATGAGTAAACTAATATGTCAATGTTGTCTTACATCATAATATTGTCTCTAGTGTAGATAGAGATGCGAAATATCTACAGTGAGCCTCCCTTGACTACACATCTGCCTTTGATTCTGTACCTAGACCTCTTTTGTTTAACAGACAGCTTGCTGAATTCATAAGTGGTTGCGTTCATTGTATATAATGGGAAGTCTTTACTTACTCTAACCGGTGTCCCTCAAGGTGCTATTCATTCTCCTTTTCTGTTTTCTTTCTTGTTGCGGTTAGGATGGCCGAGCGGTCCAAGGTGCTGCGTTTAGGTCACAGTCCACTCTGTGGCGTAGGTTCGAATCCCACTCCTGACACTACTTTGTGTGTCGATGACACAGCGGTAGAATGCTCGCCAACCATGCACATGGTCTGGGGTTCGATCGCCGGCCACAGACGCACTCCTTTACCTCGCTAAGCCAGTAATAAGACCAGTAAAGAGGGGAAGTTGATCTGGCCATAAGGCTAGCAACCCAATCCCGTAAAAATAAACACCTGCTATCGAAGTTTCAAGCCCTATTTTCCACTGGGAACGTAAAGGAATAAAAAAACATAACTCAGCCCCATTCCGACGAAACCGATTTTGTTAATTATGCCTATGATCTGACTGTTTCTGTACCTGTTACTTCTGAGTCAGATTGTTTCAGAATGAATAACATTTTATCAGATATTAGTCACTTATGCTTGTCAAATGGTCTTAGGCTAAATCACTCCAAATGTCAGGTAGTTAATTTCACTTTCAGACACAAGCGCGACTTACATCAACTGCTTTGCTCTCATGATTCTTGCCATCTGTGAAGTTGAAACTAAGTCGAATGTTAAATACCTCGGATCATGTCTTTCCGAAGACGTTCATCGGCACAGAAGCATCAAATGGCGGAGACATAGAGAGAGAGAAAATGAACTAGTGTTACGGCAAAACATGAGAGACAGGAAGGGAAGACAAAGCAACAAAATACACAGGGCAGAAGTAGCACAATACAGAAGGACTGCGCTAATGATGATTAACGTATAAGGTGTACATAATTCCCCTATATTATTTTATTATTTCCTTGTGTTCCGAGTGGAACATAGGGCTTCAACAACATACCTTCGCTTTCTTCTATTTTCGTCTGTCCTCTTCAGCCAGGTCCACGAGTGACCATAATCTCTCATCTCCTCCTCCATGTCACCCTCCCACTCGTTGCTTCCCATTTGGATTCCACTCGAGGGATGGCCTGCATCGCGCGCGATGTTATTCGATGGGTTCCTCAATGTATGCCCGATCCATCCCCATTTTCTCCTACATAATTATTGGGCGATTGGCTCTTGTCTGATTTTTTTAGCCAGAGTTTTTTGCTGCTAATTCTTTCTAACCGGCTGGCTGGCCATTTGATCTTTAGTGTGGAGCCAGCAAATGAGGGCAGCTGTTTATGAAAGTCTGCAATGGCCTGTTGGAAATGCTTTTCGTGATGCACACGCAGTGCAAGTTTCTGACACGTATTGAAGAGCTGATCAACTGACTTGACATTTGTGTTGAAAATCAGAATCTTGTTCTTTATACTGAGGCGGAGTGCAGTGTAGAAGATTTCCAAACTGGTTTCAGGTTGAAAAAGACGTATCTTGACATCTCCATCCGTTCCACTGGCCTGTGATGGAAACGATGCTCCTTGGCTGGATAAGTGAAGGAGGTAACTTCTGTCAAATATCTCCCGTTGATGGTGATTGTTACTGTTAGTTGGTTGCCTTCATCACCTACATCTTCTTTATGTTCACCTGCAGTTCGGTAGATTTTGTCATATAGGGCTGCCAGCCACACGCCCGACCCTCCCTCTCCACCCGAGCCATCGCCCTCCTCAACAACGGGCAATGTTAGCCTCTGATATAGGATCAGGTTGAGAAGGAGCCAGTGGTGGTCAAACCAAAACATGGCTTTATCAGTCAATGAAATCCACAACAGTTAGTTTAAGCCAGCCACGTAGGAAGGTGAGGACTTCATTGCTGGTTGGGGTCGTTGGAACGGTAAAAACCAATGAAGGCTGGAGACTTATAATTTCCAATAAAACTATATTGTTCTCCGTAATGGATAGGATTTTATTTTAATAAATCACACAGTGTTGTACAGTTAAATTAACTGATGGCGTTTCGAGCACAAACTATTGCTCATAGTCATATCAAGTTGAACTTGATATGACTATGAGCAATAGTTTGTGCTCGAAACGCCATCAGTTAATTTAACTGTACAACACTGTGTGATTTATTAAAATAAAATCCTATCTATTATGGAGTTATACTCTACCACAGTGCCCAAGTTTTATACTTATATATTGTTCTTCAATATAACTATTCTTTTTGCCTCATATTTCTGCTTATTATCTCTCCTTTTATTCTCCTTTTACTTACTTCTCTTGGTTTGTGTGGTAAGTGAAGTGTGGCGACTCGAACTGCTGCACATCGGTGCAAATTTTTCCAGGGCTACTGAAGAAGGACTATATCTTATTACGTAGGGTGCTAGAGGTTGTCAGCAGGGTAAGCAATGTGCCACTTAACCAGCTTGCTAATATTCTGGTCGACAGGCACTTGGACTCTTGTGAAAAATGGGCTAAATCCATTTTATCTAACTCACACCACCCTCTTCATTCACAACTCTCCCCTTGTATCTCATCAGGCAGGACCAGAAGCCTATATAGAAAACTATACGCTCCCACTAGCAAGTACAAAAACTCAACCATACCCTACTTAGCTCGTGTTCTGTGCGATAAAGAAAGCATTAGGTCAGTAGAAAAATTGGATCTCGTCTTTCCAATGCATATCATTTATAGGTACAACGTTTTCTTTCTTCCTTTTCTCTCTCGTTTTTCCCGTTATGTGCTGTTTCGTTTCTCTCTTCCTTACAAACTCTACTTAAAACATTCTCCTTCGTTCTTTCACACTCTGTATATCTCAACCTTTTTGTTACCGCTTACGCCAGTAAATATGCTAGTATCTACTTTTCTAACACCTTCAAACATTCTGTTCACTTTCGGCTTTGCTACCGATATGCTAATATGTTGTTGTCAAAATTAACTGAGACTACCCATAATCTATGTAGAATTTTATTTATTGTTAATGTACAAACTGGATGCAATACTGTAGTGAAATGCCGAGAATCCCATTCTGTGTTCACAGCTACTGTTTTGGAATAAAGCAAATTATTATCATTATTATTAAATTTCTATGTTGAAACCAGTCAGTCAATCCATACCTGGGCTTAGGACCGGCAAGCTAGCCAAATAGGTGAGGTTGATTCCCCTATATAGAGATATCAAATTGCATGGAGGATTTCATCATGAGCTGACATCAGTGAGAGAACCACTGGAAAACCTGAGAGTACTGGACAGACAGCTGTTTCGTCCTAGTTTGGGACTCTTCATCAGTACGCACCTAACAGTTTTCTCACCCAGGACCTTCTGGTTACAAGGTGAGCTAGATCGTAGCCACTGGGACCCGATCCAATGTTCATTTAATTCTAACTTCTGCCAATTCACGACATAGCGCGACCATTTCGCAATGTCTTCTTCGATGAGTTACAGCTTCATCTTCAACCTGCTTTATCCTACTGGTCACGGCTTCCCTGCGGCTCCAAGTGGTTCAATGGTCTACGAACTCGCCTTGTAACCAGAAGGTCCTGGGTTCGAACCCAAGTGGTGGATGCGTACTGATGAAGAGTCCCAAACTAGGACGAAACAGCTGGCTGTCCAGTACTCCCAGGTTTTCCAGTGGTTCTCTGACTGATGTCAGCTCATGATGAAATCCTCCATGCAATCAAACAAAAATCCCTACAAAATCAATACTTGAAGATATCGAATTCCCAATGAACATTTCGTTACCATCTCTCTTACCCTCTACCGTTACAGTAGAATTATTTCAAATACACACACGGTTCTTTATTTCGTAAATGTGTTATTAATTAGCTGGGACGATTCCAATCTTCTTTAAGGCATCCATTTAACATGGATCGTTTCAAATAATTTTTTCTAAATATCTGTTTATTATTATTATTATTACTATTATAAATGTTATTTACAATCAATTATCTTTAAATATACCTTATTTTGTACAGATCGAGTCACAGTTACTCTGCAGAAAGTTTTAAAAGTTGTTGAACAAGAAGCCGCCTCTGACAATGTCAAAGAAAATGATATTCACATGAAATCTTCTGCACCATCATCTCCTGAAATTTCCTGGGGTGTTACAACCTAATAATAATGATGATGATGATGAGTGATCGGGAGAAACGAAATTTCTATAATGAGTGTGTGTGTGTGTCGTTTATATTTATTAACTAACAACCCCACCCTGACCTCTATCGATTATAGTACTACTGCTGATACACACTACTGTCGCTGTGTTTTTTTTTGTACTTTTGATATTCTATTCGTATGTAAATTGATTCAACAACTCTGTGTGTAGCCTTTCATCATTTTATCGTCAGAGCTTGCGCCATTCTCACCACCAGCAGCCTTTTTTACGCTTCCTCTTCTTGTTCCTCCTGCGCCTCCGCCTCTACTCCGCCTCCGGTTGTTTAAACGCCGTCTTTGTGACATTATGCCTTATCTTTTCATCTTTTTTTACTTTGTGTAGTGTTAATTGCATAACGATGACAACAAACAGAATCCTTATTCTGCGTTTTCGCTTAAATCCATTATGATTATTAATTATGATTATTATTATTATTATTACTATTGTATTACTTTATTGCCCAATTATGCTCCATGATTAGTCTTACATAGCATCCACCCTCCCTCCTGTGTGTGGGTGGGTGGGTGAGTGCATACAATAAATTTTTTATTATTGAATTATGAGAACAGACATCGATGTATTTTCACATTTAAAACTGTCAGCTTTATTTCAACGAAGACATATAAATCACATATATATGTATATGACTGTTTGAAGTCTCATTGAGTGTTATTCATTCATTAGAAGAAAGAACTACAAAATGTTGTGTGTGTAGGCGACTGTGTACGATTGTCAAAAATAATTGAATATCCTTTATGCTTGAAATATTTATGTAAATAAAAGTGTGTTTTATACAGTGAAACATTTTCCTTTTTGGAAAACTCATTGTTCATTGTCCAGTCAAACTTATCGTCTCTACCACACCTACCCTTTTGAAAATGTATGTTTGCGTTAAAAGGTGGGGCAGTAACTCATCGAAAAAGATATTTTGAAGTGGTCGGGCTATGTCATGAATTGGCAAAAGTTAGAATTCATGCACTGGCCATTGGATCAGTCGGGTCCTAGTGGCCTAACCTTATACGAGCTCGCTGGCCTTGTAACCAGAAGGTCCTGGGTTCAAACCCGAGTGGTGGTTGTGTACTGCTGAAGAATCCCAAACTAGGTTGACGAGACAGCTGTCCAGTGCTCCCTGCAGGTTTTTCAATGGTTCTCTAACTGATGTCAGCTCATGATGAAATCCTGTAACCAAACTCAGATTTATTACAACACTGACTACTTTGTCATCATAGGTTGAGTATATACGGTCTTGATGCATATATCAGTCGCCAGGGTTGTAATATAAGTAACCTTCATAAACAAGGCGAACTCAGGAGGAAGACAGTAAGTCGTATACACTGAATGAGTGGTTAATTGACAAGAACACGTAGTTACGACTGCGTTTAGACCGGTATATAAATTATGTTTTTAGAAATATCCCCTATCGTAGCAGATATATTTATGGATAGCTGGGAAAATATGGCACTTAATACGTTTAATCCTACTCCAAAATTATGGTGGAGATATGTGGATGACACTTTCACAGTGTTAAAAACAGAACATATCTCTAGCTTTTTGACACACATAAACTCACTAGTGGAGGGAATAAAATTCACATTTGAAACCGAAAATGAGCAAGGAGAATTAGCTATGTTAGATTGTAAAATAAAACGAATAGAAGAAGGCAAACTACACACTAGTGTTTATAGAAAACCAACGCATTCTAATAGATATTTAGACTTTAATTCATCTCATCCTTTAACTGTTAAGGCAGGCTTAGTTAAGTGTTTAACAAACCGAGCCATAGAACTTAGTAGCACAAGAAAAGACCTAAATGATGAAATAAAACAGATAGAAGAGGCGTTGGTTCTAAATAACTATCCTCTAAAATTCATTAGGAAGATTGAAAAAGGCCAAAAGAAAAATAAAAAGAATTGTGAAACTGGTAATAATAACATAAATAAGAGAGAATATAAGTCATCTACAGTTATACCATATAAAGAGGGGACATCTGAGAGCCTACGTAGGATTCTAAATAAAGCAGGAATTAGGGTGGCATTTAAACCTACAAACTCACTCAGGGACAAGCTCTGTAGGTTAAAGGACCCAGTGGACCCAATTAGACAAAATAATATAATTTACAAAATACCCTGCAATGACTGTGAGGTCAACTACATAGGTCAAACTAGTAGGTCAAGGGTAGTCAGATTGTCAGAACATAAGAATTTAGCTAAGGTAAGAATGGTTGATCCAGAGAAGATAAGTAATTTAGAAAAAAGCTCAGCAATTGCAATGCATGCATTAACACACAACCACACAATAGGGTCGGAGAGGGTTAAAATTCTAAAAAGTAATCTAGGTAGGTGGAGAGAGAGGTTGATTACTGAATCTTTGTTCATCGAATCTACACCCAACACATGCAATAGGAATGAATCATCACTCATACCTGAAATATGGAAAATAATACTACCAATCAAATAAAGTGAAAATCAAGTGAAAAACAATGGAACTATATAAATGAATTTAGGAAGTCGTGTAATGAACTTGATATGATTATGAGCAATAAGTTGTGCTCGAAACGTCATCAGTAAATATTACTGTATAACACTGTGAGACTCTATCAAAATAAAATTTACCCATGATGGAATTACACTCTACCACAGTGCCCAAGTTTTATTCTTATATCAATTTTTAGAAAAGGTAATGGAAAGCGTTAATCTCTTACGATGAAGCCCTAGAAGTGAGGTTACTCTTTAGCTATATAAAGTTTTCGCATACTAATAACATCTTGTGAAGACTGTACAAATCTCTAACTTCCAGCTTTCAGACAGATGAAATTCTTGTGAATATTGGTCGTGCTTTTTCTTATCGCGTCTATCGCCTCCCCCATACATCTATCTACCTTTCATGTCAGCGTAATTAACTACTCTGAAAACATATTATTATTATTGCCTCCTTTAATTCCTAGAGGAACATACGGCTTCAACATCACGTCTCCATTGCGTTCGGTTCTCCGATAACGTTTTCATCACCTAGCTCCACGTCTGCCCTCATCCTTTCATCTCCTTTTCACATGCCTCCTCCTCCTCCATGTCACCCTCGCACTGACGACCAATGAACTCGCCATTTCCCATTCTGACGGGTTCCACTCGAGTGATGGTCTGGTGTGTGATGTCAGTCACTTGATGGTTTGTCTTCTCAGAGTACAGCTAATCCACCTAACTCCATTTCTTCCTGCAGATTTGTTGCACAGTTGGTTCCTGCTGTGTTGGTTGGTTCGTTCATTGCCAGAGATCCCTCCATGTTGCTGATGTTTTCTGGCTGGCCATCTGATCTTGAGTAGTACTGAGCGAAGACAGCGAGCTGTCTATGAAGGTGTGTAGTTTGTTCGAATTGCCCTTGGTGACGCGGCGCGGCGCCAAGTCTCTCATCCGTATAGTAGCACTAATTTCCTGGCCAGAAATACCAGAGAAATGAGAGTTTTATGTAACTAAGCAAACGTAGCGTACTAATCGAAAAGCGCGTCAAGGTCCCTGAAAACATATAAAGAAGCCTAATTCTCTTTTGATTTGGTAGTGATCTCTGAGCTGGTTGATGAATTAATTGCGAAGCTTTCGTTGTCCTTATAGACAACATCTTCAGTGTAGGTTTTAATATATAGTGAACTTGTTCCATTTCTCCATATGAATGACAACCATTGTTGTGATTGGTTGTCAATTTAAATTGATCACTTTTATTTACTTGGAATTTGAACTTTCTTGTCATGTGATCTGTTTTTAACAGAAATGGTAAATCTAGTCTCAAGAAATGTGTTTCTTAGTCGCTGATTCATATGAATACCAGGTTTCTAGAAATGCGATGGCATTTTTGGTGTTTCCACAGCGTCTAGACTCTCTACATTCTCCCAATCAAACTGGCATCTATGATGGTCTACATGCATTGATATGAAAGAATATATATTGTGTCTTTTGACAGCTGATTTGTGTTCTTGGATTCTGATTCGAAGGCGACACCCACTTAAACCGATGTAGTGTTTATCCATTATGCAATTTATTTTGTAAATGGTATCGATCTTATCGTCTTTTACTATTGGATGCTTTGGTCTGTACAATATCGAATGAAGTGATTGTGTTGGCTTCTGTGCTATGTGTACTTCGAATGGTTAAAGTATTCTAGCTGCTATTTCAGAGATATTTTTTAAATATGATAGGATGAAGTTTCTTGTGGTGTGTTTAATGATGATTTCTTGTTGGTGTTACGACTTGAGTGAAGACACCTTTCTTGATGAAATTCCATAGGTATGAATTCTTCTTGAAGACTCTTTTAAACAATGTCTGCACACAGTTTCTTTTGTGGGCCATTGGGTTATTGTTATCATAGTTGGGTATTTGCTCTGTGTGCGTTCATTTTCTGTGTACTTACTTGTGTTTCTAAATTCCCTGTGTTGATTAAGACACCTCAGAATGGAATTTTGTTGTGCAATTCTACTTCCCTTGTGAATTTAATGTCTTCAAATGTGTTGTCGATTAGTTTATGGGTGCTTCGGTGGCACAGCGGTACAGTGCTCGCCGACTACGCAGGTGGTTCGGGGTTCGATTCCCGGCCACAAACGCACTCCTTTACCTCGCTGGTAAAGAGGGAACTTTGGGCTGGCCATGAGGCAAGCAACCCCATCCTGTAAAAATGATCACTACTGCTACCGAAACTTCAAGCCTCTAGCTTGAAGCCCTATATTCCGCTGGGGACGTAAAGGAATAAAACAAAGTTTGTGGGAATATCCCAAATCATTTTATTATTATTATTGTTTCCTTTAGTTCCTAGAGGAACATAGGGCTTCATCCGTGCGTCTCCATTGCGTTCGGTTCTCTGCTAGAGTCTTCACCTGGTTCCAAGTCTGCCCACACGTTTCCATCTCCTCTTCACATGACCTCCTCTAAGTCACCCACCCTTGCACTGACGACCAACTTGCCGCTTCCCATTCGGGTTCCACTCGAGCAATGGCTTGTCTAGTGATGTCACTTTATGGTTTGTTTCCTCAGAGTATGGCCAGTCCATCTCCATTTCTTCCTGCATATTTGTTTCACAATCGGTTCCTGCTGGGTTGGTTCGCTCATTGCCAGAGATCTCTGTTGCTGATCTTTCCTGGCCGGTCATCTGATCTTGAGTATTGAGCGAAGACAACTGTTGATGAAGGTCTGTAGTTTGTTTGAGATGCTCTTTATGACGCGCAGTGCAAGTCTCTGATCCGTATAGTAACACTGACTTCACATTGGAGTTGGAAATCCGGATCATATTTTTCATTCTGAACAGTGCTGTTGACCTCCACACAGACTTGAGAGTAATGAAAGCTTGTCTTGCTTTTCCGACTCTTGGTTTGATATCCTCGTCAGTTCCATCTGTAGTTGAAACGATGCTTCCCAGGTCGGTAGGTAAAAGAGGTTGTTTCTTTCAGGTTCCTTCCATTTATGCTGATCATTGCTTGTTGTCGTTGTTGTTGCCCAGGAATCTTCATCATCCACCTCTGTTTTCTCTATGTTCACCTGAAGTCCTATCTTTGATGCTTTTTCTGTCAACTTGTTGCTTTTCGCTTGCATATCTCCCAGTTTGTGGGAAATCAGACATATATCATCGGCGAAGTCCAGATCCTACAAGATTTTCGTTAGGGTCCATTTTATGCCTGTTTCCTCATTGCCGAATCATTTTATTTAATTATTATTACGATTGTATTATCAACATAAGGTACCCAGATTTTTGGTTTTATTATGAATAGGGGTATTCATTGTATAATCTTTGCACACCGTGGCTTCAGCTATTAATCCTGATATGGGTAATACCATTAGTATCACTTTTATCTGTTCGTATGTCTGATTACTGAAATGGAAATATATTGCAAGATATAATTCTATGAGTTCTCTAGCCAACCACTGCTTCTAAGCAAT